AGAGCGTTTCTCTGCTAGGCTCTGGCACTAGCACTCAGAAGCAACTGGTGACCTAAAGTCCTGGCTGAAGTGGTTCCAGGTGGCCTTTTATGCAAGAGAGTGTCCAATAAGCACTGGAATGGGTTACCTAAGGAGGTGGTGGAATCTCCGTCCCTAGAGGTGTTTAAATCTTGGCTTGACAAAGCCCTGGGTTGACTTAGTTGGGATTGGTCCTGCCTTGGGCAGGGGGCTGGACTTGATGACCTCCTTGATGACCTTCCAGCTCTATGATTCTATGATTCTGATGCTCTCTTTTGAAAAGCAGATAGCTTTTTTCATGTGCTTTTGTGTGTGGACTCTCTCTTCTGAAAAAACATTCTTTCAAAAGAAGTTTGCAGTCTAGACGTAGCCACATGTGTGACTTGCACAGACCACAAAGCAAGTCAGTGGCAGAGCAGAAACCAAAATTCAGGGTTGGTTGCTGGGTTCCAGTCCCTTTCTCTTAAAAACCACGAATGAACATTATTTCTTTGTATCTTATATATTAACTATGAAGAATTGATTGTCAGTTGGTGTGAATTAATGTAGCTCCATTGATTTCACCATGCTGATGCATACAAGCTAAGATTCTGGCAGAGTGTAAGAAAGAAGCTAATTTGGGGTTTAATCCAAAACCCATTCAAAAGACTTTCCAGAGACTGAATGGTAATTGGATCAGGTATTAAGAAAGAAGATACCCTGGGTGAGGAGAATGGCATTCAGGATTAAAATAAATAGAATGAAACCCAAACTTTCTCAAGTCTTCTATAGCTTACTTGCCCACAGATAGAAATGTTCCTTTGTTGACTGGAAGATTAAACCATTACAATTATTTCATGGTTTTCTAGATAATGGCTGTTTTTATGTGAGAGTCTCTTGCCACCCTTTTTTGCACTAGATTTTTAAAAATCTATACTTTGAATAATAGGCAGCAGTAATTTGCACAGAAAGACTCGCTTCTCTGTAATTTCTCCCCAAAAACTGATGGCAAAGAGTCACTGACAAGATGACTACTGAGATTACTATCAAGATCTTCTCAATTCTAGTCCCAAAAGGGTCTTTTCAGGATGGTATCAACTAATAGCACTGCAGAACTCATTTGTAATGCATTCAGTTTTAGTTGCAATGCCACGTACAGCAGTGTGGAGTGAAAATCCTCAACTGCTTCAATGCATTTCACTTCATTGTAAATGAGTTCCATTCTACTAATCCTTTAGGAATTTTATCATCTTCTTCCTCTGCTCTGGCAGAGCAGGAGAAAAGAGAAGTTACCACTGTGGGAGGGCGGGGTTAAAAGAGAGGAATACCTGGCTTCCCTTTTCACATGAGGACATGAAGGAGAACTTAACCTAGGATCATTTTGAACTACAATTCCAGCTTGGGAAGATAAACTTCCTGCAGCAATACACTTAGCTGTCATTACCCCTGGTTGAAGGAGAATGGATCTTTTACTTAGTAGCCATTTTCCCATTGTAATGAAACTACATATATGTTTGTTTCTTTTATGAAAGAAATCAGTTTAGTGTGGGATCACTCCTGCACTATGATTAATTATTAGTATACAGATCCTATCCCAACAGCTCACAATCTAAGCACACTGAAGACAATGGTAATTTTGCCATTGACTTCATTGGAAGCAGGTTTGGGTTCTAGCATTCCTAGTATCACAGCAAATGGAAAAGGCATGCAGGTTAACTCAGCACATGCTTTATGAGCATATCTAATAAAGAGAACTCATGGAAGTGCTTTTGTGATCTACAAGCAAAAACTCTGAAAACCAATAACAGACAATGAAATAGTGGAAGATATTCTGATAATCATGCAAAAATGCCTAGATACATTGAAACATATACTCATTTTAAATTTAGCTTTCAAAATTGCTGCTTTTTTGTTAACCAGAGAATGGAATTTTCTATGACTTAACTAGAAAAGAATGTTCAGGTAGACTACGCAATGTGTAGTCCAATATATGCAGAGCAGAAATAATTTGTTACAAACTAACACTAACCTGTTAGGGTATTAGGATTCAGAAAAACAAAACAAAAAAGGGAATGTGTGGCAACCCCAATATTTCCATATCCAGGCAATTATTTCAGTTTTCAACCATATTCCAGTCGGAAAGCTGTGCACATCTCCCTAAGTGTACACAGCATCTGTACCAGCATTTACCTATTAAACCATGAAAAAACAGAAAGAACATACTGAAAAGACTATATTATTTTTTCGTCTTTAAGCATGATCTAATTTAACTTAGAAGGAAACAGAAGGAGGAAATAGCAGGAGAAAAAACAGGTAGTTCGAAATAGGGCAGTTATTCCAGGCTTGTAAATTTAAAAAAAAAAAAAAAGGTGTCCGGCCGGGAAGATGCAAATCAAGCACGGGATATTTAAATCCTGGGCTTGATTTGCAATTCCGAATGCCTACATTTGCAGCCCTATTCCGAAATAGGCTGCAAGTGTAGACATACCCTTTGAGACATTAATTCTATTCCTAGCTCTGCACTGGCTCCCTGGGTGACATGGGCAAGTTCCTTGTCCCAGTTTTCCTGTTTGTAAGATGATATTATGTGGTGTATATACCCCACATTGGGCCAGGAGGGCTTAATGCCCTGTGGGCAGAGGAAGTCCCACCCCCCCTCAGCCACACTGGGCATGCTCCAAGGCCTGGAGCAATATGAAAGGGAGCAGCTCAGCTCAATCTGGGCTGGATGCTGAAGAGGAAGGACCTTCTAAAGGAGTTCCAGAGGTGGACCAGCCAGAAACCCAGACAATGGGAGTCGGAGACCCGGAAGACTGTTTTGAGTCTCCAGACCCAATGGAACTGTAGAAGGAGACTGGCACTGTGAAGCCTGGCAACCCTGAAACTGAGGGGATCACCCCAACACCAGAACTGGTAGGAAGTAACCCAGGGAGGGTGCATGAGTCGTGTATCCAACCCAGGCGCGCTCAGTGTGTTGTGGTAGGATTCCGCGCTAAGCGAATGGAGGGTCACTTCTCCAATGATAGGGCCCTGGGTTGGGGTCTGCTGGAGTAGGGCTGCTGCCTCAAACCCCTTGTAACTCTAGCCATTAGGCTGTGCTTCCCTGAACCATAGGGTTGAGTTATAGACCGTGGCTGCTGGGCCACGCTGCCTCGGGATGAGGCGTTCTTGTGACACGACAGATGGGAACATAATATTTCCCTACCACACAAGGTTATTGTGGTCATTCCTTCATGATCCATGGAAGGAAGATGCTGGGGCCAACAATGTAACAATTATCCATTAGAGGAAACTCAGTCAAGGGAGGTGAGGGAATGAAAAGCTTTTACACTGGGGTGGGCAATAATTTTTTATGCAGGGCTACTCCAAGAATTTGGAAAGTAGTCGAGGGCTGCATTCTTCTATGATATTAATGGAGGAGATGTGGGGTCTGGGATGGAGGTTAGGTGCAGAAGGGAGCTTGGGGTAAGGGAAGGAGTTTGGATGAAGGAGGCAGTTGTGACCTGGGGCACTGGACTGCGTTGGAGGGGGAGGGATTGTGACCTACGGCAGGAAATTGGGGTACACAAGGGAATGCAGAGATTTGTGTTGTGAGCTAGGGCAGAAGGGGACTATGATCTGGGGCAGGTGATTTGGGTATGTGGAGTAGGGGGCAGAGGGTTGGAGAAGGGAGGGACTGGGGTGCCAGAGGTAGGCTCCGCCAAGAAACTTACCAGCCAGCAGCAGTTCCTGAATCAGTCTCCCAGCTTGCCCTGCCCCTACACAGGCTGCAGCCACATTCTCTGGAGACCCTTGTACTTCACAGCTGCCTGTTATTGAAACAGGCAGCTCCCATTGGCCAGTTTCTGGTCAGAAACTGACCAATGGGATTGTGCTAGGGGCAGAGCAGCTTCTAAAGCTTCTCCCCTCCCTTCTGGACTCAGTTTTTAAAGAAAACCTGCCCCACAGCCACATTTCTGAGCAGCATGTGGTTGGGGCTAGCCATGTGGGGAGCCTTCCTGGGGCTCTCCGCAGCATCCACAGGCAGGATCCAGTGGCGTGATGGGCCAGATTCGATCCACAGGCCGCATTTTGTCCATAGGGTTGCTAGATGGTTTCACAAAAAATACCAAACCCTCCCCCCCAAAAAAAGGCTGGGGAAAAAATTCTGTTGAGAAAGAAAGAAAAAAAAAACACAGGAAAAGTTTTTGAGGAAAAAAAAAAGGCAAAAAAAAAAGGCAGAAAAAAACCCAGGGCCGAAATGCAGTTATGCTCCCCCGTCTCACCACCCCAACCAGCGCGAGCTGCACCACGTGGCTTCCGTCGGAAAAACAGAAAATACCAGACATTTTAAATGTCCCGTAGTTTTGGAATTCTGTTACCGGACAGAAGATGCAAATACCGGGCTGGACACCTGGCAACCCTATTTGTCCAGGTCTGTTGTACACAGAATGCTGAATATAGGGAATCTTTATTTTAAATCATGTAAAACAACTCATTATATTCCCTCCCTGCTACTGAATCCTCTTTGCTTTATACAGCGAGGAAGGATAGGGTTGGATAAATTGCCAAAGTAACTGATTTTTTTCTTAAAAATAAAACTCCTTAAAATCCATGTATTCAGTAGCATTCTGGTTACATAAAACCATCTGTCACTCTGTCTTTGTATACCTGTGTGCCTTTAAACTGTTAGGGCTCTTGGACAGTGAGCCAGTTATCTTTTTGGCACATCTCCTATAGTAGAGTGCCAAGTATGGCACAGAGGTCTCCTACAGTAAGGTGCTACCTATGCCTTCAGCACTGTGTTAAAATAATATGAGGCTGTCATAATGCAATGACATACCAATGGATTTAGCAAGAATCATTACCCATCTTTACAGAGGTTTTACTTCAAGACTAAGGACTCAGTTCTGATCACATTTCCATTACCGTAGCTTTATTATTGAATTACTCTATACTTATAACAAGGTATCTCTGGGGAAGCAAACACATTAATAGCAATTTGTTTTCTATTACCCACCTACCTACATAGAGAACTCCCTCTTTCGTCTTTCCTGCTGCTTCTGCCATACCCTGTTTGGTTTTTTCTGCTGCTGCCACAACTCCCTCTTTAGCCTTGGAAAGCCCTTTCATGAATACATCCATGGCTAACGATTTTCTTTACACAGCACTAGGAAAAAACAAGACACACTTTTGAATAAAAAAACATTTTTCAGAAGGATAGACTGTTCAAACTCTGGTTGGAACCTTACTTATAAAAAGATTGTATCTGTCAATCAGCTGTATGCACACATTATCTATCTACACACATAGATATCTGTATCCATAGAAGTGTTCAATATTTCATGCAGAATAAAAAGTGGTTTAACAAGTGGATACAACAACCAGTGAAATTCTCTGAATGGACCTTAATATTTTCAGTTTTCTCATATGCTGCTGCACAAACAGGTTTAACAGTGCTATAGACCAGGGCTGGGCAAGAGCCTGTTAGCATGTCTTCCCTGAAAGCCCTTTAAAAAGTAGCAGTTGAAAGGGCTCTCAGCTCCTGGCCCCGCTGGTAGCGCAAGCCCTTTAAATAGATGCATTTGAAAGGGCTCGTGCCTCCCAGGCAACATATTAGCCTTGGGGCCCAGGAGCTGCGAGCCCTTTCAACTACTTCTATTTAAGGGGCTTGTGCCTTCCGAGTGGCTGCTAAGCAAAGAGCAGAAGTTGAAAGGGCTCACAGCTCACCCCTCGCTAACACATTGCCTGGGAGATGCAGGGGAGGTGTGAGCCCTTTCGACTCCTGCTATTCAAAGGCCTTATCCCTTCTAACCAAGGCCCTGCGTGTTCCACCCGAGGCCCCATCCATTCCAGGGCAGCCCATGACAACTTCGAAAAAATTTTAAATGGCTCCCCTTCAAAAATTATTGCCTACCCCTGGTATAGACACACAGACACACATCAGGTTTATGCACTACTCTCAAAACCCAAGTAGGACAAGTTTCGACTTTTTTTTTTAAGCCATATAAATGAAGACACCTCAGTCCGTTTCTGACAGGGAGGTGCACATAATGTGTCTTTTCTAGATCCTTTTATTCTTGAATGAGACACAATTCCCACAGACATGAATGTGAGTTTTGTTCTACAGACAAAAGGATTTAACCCTTTAGTTGGATGGTCTACATGTTTTCACTCAGAGCCACGAATCTAGTTCAAAATGCACCAGCAACTTAAAAACAAATAAAAATACCACTCATTTATCTGAAAATTGCTTATCTACTATTGTAGTAGTCTCTATTATAAACCCTGTTATAGCTATATTATCCACCTATATTCATAGTGGTCCCCTCCAGCCTTAGAATCTGTGAAGCTATTAACAGGAAAAGATTAAAGAAAAAAATCTTTGTACCCTATATACTTGCTTAGTGCATCTGACAGCATTTTGCCACAGTCAGTTTCTCTTTTTCCTTTGTATAGACAGTTTACCCTATTATTTGTGGCGGTATTTCTGGCAGCAGTGGAGATGGAAAACTCATTTATACTTTTTTAAAGGGAAATATTATTGTAACGCCACAATCACTAGTAGGTGATTTCAGGGGCAGATGTGGGACTAGGAACTTCATTTAAGTCCTTAAAAAGGCAATGCTCCTTTAACAAATTAACTCTTGGTGATCTTTTATTTCTCCACCTATAGAGTAAGAATTCTGTTGGTACCTGTACCACTTCCTTTATTCCTCTGATGCTGCTGACTAAGGGTATGTCTACACAGCAAAGTTATTTCAAAATAACGGCCGTTATTTCGAAATAACTATCCTAGCATCTACAGAGCCATTCCGTTACTGCGAAATTAATTTGAAATAGCAGAGGGCTTATTTCAAAATTGTTAACCCTCATTCCACGAAGAATAGTGCCAATTTTGAAACTACTATTTCAAAAATAAGCGCTGTGTAGAGGCTTATTTCGAAAAAAAGGGGACCTCCAGCCCTTCCCAGGGTGCCCTGCTGGCCGCTCTGGCCACGAGGCAACTTCTGACCTGCTCCCCTGCCAGAACTGGTTCCAACCAGCCTTAAATGCGATTCAACGACCACTCAGTGTGGACGCGCTATTTCAAAATAGAAAAACACTATTGCGACCTGCATTTTGTGTGTAGACGCGTTCTTTCGAAATAAGCTATTTCGAATGAACTATTTTGAAAGTAGATATTTCAAAATAATGCTGTAGTGTAGACATACCCTTTGACTGGGTGCCAAACATCTGGGCGGCAGCAACCACTACCTACTTGTGATCATTTAAATGTGGAAATAAACAGGAGCGAGATTTGTCTCATTAGCACACACTGCAAAATCTGTCACCCTCCCACAGAAAGAGAACAGCTTTCACACTGCTTGAAATAGGACTCTCGGGTGAAATGCATGAGATCGAGCCTTCTGCCGCTCACACAATCTCTCTGGAGCTACGAGGGTGAGGCTGGATCCACTCGACACCCACCCTCAGCCGCAGGGGAAAGCTCCAGATCCGTTTTAGGAGACCCGCCCTGCTCCAGAAGGCTGCAGCTACCTGGACACAGTGTCCATGTGGAAATTAGCCGAGCGGGGATGAGACATCTCTGCGCACGTGGGCAATGCCCGCTCAGACAATAGTGGCTCCAGTCCCTCGTCCCCGTCTCCCGCACAGGGAGCTGCACTCGGGGCTCCAGAACCGCCCCCCCCCCCTCGCTTGAGGTGCTCTGTGGGGCTTGCTGGGGGTGGGGAGGCTCCTGCTGGTGGGGCGGCGCCACTCCTGAGCCTGCCCGCTACCAAGCCGGGGGGCCGGGCAGCTCCCGCCCGGGACTGCTCCTGGGGGCACCGGCACGTACGGACCCCGCCGCCCAGAGCGACCGGACAGAGCGCCGTGACCATAGAGACACAAACAGACCCGGTCACGGACACGGGACAGAGTAGCAGAGGCATACAGGCACCTATAGACCCTGTCTCATAGACAGGGCGGGGTGCTAGGACCATACAGGCACCTATAGACCCGGTCTCATAGACAGGGCTGGGTGCTAGGACAATACAGGCACCTATAGAACCGGTCTCATAGACAGGGCGGGGTGCTAGGACCATACAGGCACCTATAGAACCGGTCTCATAGACAGGGCGGGGTGCTAAGACCATACAGGTACCTATAGAACCGGTCTCATAGACAGGGCGGGGTGCTAGGACCATACAGGCACCTATAGACCCGGTCTCAGGCAGGGCAGGGCGGGGTGCCAGGACCATACAGGCACATCACGACCCTATAGGCACATACAGACCCACCCTCCTGTCCGTCGGCAGGCTGGATCTATATGTCCCTCCTCTCCCCCCCCCCCCCCCCCCACA